TCCTGCTGGCTCAGACGGTAAAGTGTCTGCCTACAATGCGGGAGACCCAAGTTCGATCCCTGGGTCAGGAAGATCCTCTGGAGAAGGAAATGGCAGCCCACTCCAGTATTCTTGCCTGCAAAATCCCATGGACAGAGGAGCGTGGTAGGCTACAGTCCATGGGGCCACAGAGTCGGACACGACTGAGGGACTTCATTCATTCGTTTCATTAGAAAAATCTATATCTTATGCTTTTTAGAAGACTAAATTTCACTGGGACCATATCATGTTTTATATTCCTTCAATTCATTTGGCAGTTTTATAGAAATGTAGGTTTATTTCCTCTTTGTAACAATTCCTGCGTTCATTATTAAGAATTTTTAAGATTACAAACTTATTTCATTAACATTAGCCTCCAAAAGTAATATTTGTATTTAAAAGGCAGTAAATAATTTGCACTAAGGTGAGAAGGACAAGTTGATTTACTCTCAGGAATTACCTACTTATTAAAAGCAAATGTAGTAATAATTTGGAAGACTTTGATTTGAAGGGAAAGAATTACTTCACATCAGGAGGGCTGAGTGCTTGACATGTGTCATCATGTTTAATTCTCATAATAACGTTTCTAGGTAGGTGTTCTCATCTCCTTTTACAGACATAAAACTAATACTTAGAGCGATTATCTGCCCAAGTTCACTCATTCAGAAGCAGGGAGAACTTGATGGAATCCAGGTTTTTCTGACTGATATTTCTCTACTGCTTAATTACCCCTTTCTGATAGAAATCTTTTTCAGTGGAGTAACTTCCAGATGACTTGTCAGATGAAATGGTGTTCTATGAGAAGGGGATTCTTGGGAAGTCCTTCTTTTTATAATTGTTTGAACTATTTCAGTGACATGGTTTTGTAGACTTAATATCTGAAGATGCCTATATTAACTGCATAGATAGGCACATTGACTTACTAATTATGCTCATATTTTTACGAGTCTTGAAATTGAGATACTCCTGTTCCTATGGGTACCTCTGTTCCCAAGCGATGGACACAGAGCATTTGAACCTCTTTCCTCTGGAACATCATTAACCACACAAGCATTCATTGAAAAAATAAATATTATGATATAACTAAGTAGAAACTTCTGTAACATGACAAAAGCATATGATGAAGAATTAGACATATTCTCATTGAAGTCAAGGACAAAAAATTATATTCTCTCTACTATTATTCTTTATCATTCTAGAAGTCTTAGCCAAGGCAATTATACAAGAGAAAGAAATGGGTTAGTAAAATTGCATAAGAGAAGGACAATTTACAGTTGTTTTCAGGAGGAAAACTGAAAGCAATTTCAGTTTACAATTGCTTTCAGATGATAAAATTACATACTTGGGTAATTGAAGAGGACCTATTGAAAAGCTACAGAAATAATAAGAGAATTAATAAATATGGCAGTTTGTAAATTGATTAATAAAATCAACAGTTTTCTTCAGACAAGTAACAGTCTGCTAGAAAATAAAAAAGGGGAAAAGGTTCCATTTGTAATAATAATAACAACAAAGAAAGGAAATATGTACTGAGCACTTACAATTGCCACACACAGTTCTAAGTGTTTTGAAGGGTTTTCATTGAATTCTCACTACAACTCTCTGAAGCAGGTGCTATTATTATTTCTGTCTTATTAATACTCAAGAGAAAGAGGAACAAAGTGTTCATGTAACTTGTTCAAGATCTTATGAACCTGAGAACATGTAGTTTTAATTAATAGAATATAGTTCCGCCTGGACAGTGTAATACTCATTGAGGAACACTTTTTTTTAAATTGGAAAAGAAAGCTCATCACGAAAATTTATATTGCCCTTGGTCTGAAGACTTAATATTTTGAAGACATCAAGTGTCTCTATTTAGTTAATAAATTTAATGTAATATCAATACAGATACAAAGAAAAATTTTAAGTTAGATAAATTGGATTTTATGTTGCCAGATATATTCTTTAAAAGAATATAAAGAGGAAAAAAGTAATAAGGGAGGAATGGTGTCCTATATTAAAATATATTATGAACTTATGTTAATTGAAATAATTGTGTGTTGGCACCTGAGTAAACAGACATGTTGTTGGGACAATATAAGGAGTCTAGACATCCAAATATAAGTGAAAATTTAACTTTTGAAAATAGTGATATTTCAGATCAATGGAAAATTGGATTCCTCATCATGTTAGTGCAAAGAGGCTGTATCCCTACTTCACTGCTTAGACTCAGATAAATTTTAAATGGACTAAAGATTTAAAAGTAAAAAAATAAAACTATGAAACTAGTAGGAGAAAAGTGATACACTTTTAAACACTGTAATTTTAGTGTGTGTGTGTAGGGCAGTGGTTTTCCAAGCAAACATGAAATCTGAAAGCCAGGAAAGAAAAGACTGATAAATGCGTTTACATACATGTTTTAAATAAAGAAAATCAAAACACAGATTTCAAATAGGAAAAATATTTGGAAATACATGATAGAAAGAAGAGTTATTTCTTTAATCAATTAGAACTTTGTGAACCAATATGGAAAAAGCCAACAACTCCAATGACAACATGGATAAAATCATGAAAGGGAAGACTTGCTTGCTATAACATAACTTTTCTGTATTTTAAAATTTCACATATATAATATAAAACTTTTGAACAAAAACATAGAATATCCTTACTCTGTGATATATATGTCTTCCCAAATACTTTCTATGAATATAATTCGGGCTTCCCTGGTGTCTCAGATGGTAAAGAATCTGCCTGCAATGAGGGAGACCTGGGTTCGATCCCTGGGTTGGGAAAAATCCCTGGAGAAGGAAACAGCTATCCACTCCAGTATTCTTGCCTGGAGAATTTCATGGACAGAGAAGCCCGGCAGGCTACAGTCCATGGGGTTGCAAAGAGTTGGACATGACTGAGATTCTTTCACACACACTCATTTTTTATGAAACAAATTCATTTAATTCATTTTATCTTACATGTTTGTTTGGACGTCACCCAATGTTCTATGACACATTTAAATGGAAAAATCATTTTTCCTGTTCTTCATATTAGTTTCCAATGTTTTGTTATTGTGAATATTCCTTAAATTATAATTTTTATTCACATACAATGATTAATATCCCTTGATATTAATTCTTTATGTCAAATAAATTTCCTGAAATAGAATTGCTAGGTTAAATGGCATATGTATTTTAATCTTTTAAATAATACTTTTGAACATTTTTAGATTATTCTAATTTATGCATTCTCAGACAGTATTTGGGAGTAGTTGTTTTCCTGATTTCTTGTCAAAATGGTGGCTTACCATTGTAAGAAATCCTGACATATATATATATGTAATAAAAATATAAGTTCCATAAATGATTACTAATGAGATTAAATTTTAGTCCATATGACTGTGTGTGTGTGATTTTAGGCATCTACTTAGAGGAAATAAATGCTTTGTCTATTTGACTAAAATAGCTACCTGGACTAAAAACAAATGATCTGATCATTTTAATTTCCATAATCACTAGAGTAGGTATTCTTGCAATCTGTTTAAGGATAATGTCACAAATAGTATTTTAACTCTTAAGTAGTTGCTATTAGTCAGGGAACCTACATTTGCAGATTCACCAAGCAGTCATACAAGAAGAGAAACCTGATGAGTCATCGCAAAATTTGGGTGGTTCCTCAAAGTTTTGGCTGATGGTAGAGTTTTTCAACCGTTTCCTGATATGTTTTTCTTATGACTGCTTTCCATAATAAACCTGAAAATTTAAAACTCTCCCTTCACGGAGTTGGTTTCATTTCCAACAGTCAAGCTAAGATACAAACAGCTCCGAGTTACATAGTCAATTAAACCAAGGTGGGAGCGGGGGAGGGTGGGCAGAGTGATAAATGAGCAGTCATTTCAATGTTTTCTTTCCAGAAGAAATCAGAGCCAGATTACACATTATCTCGCCCTGACTTTTAGCAAGATAGATAGCCACGCAAAATTTTCGAGTTCAAATAGTCTCCATCAAAAGAGTGAAAACCCTCATCTTCTGGCCGCACTGAACTTTCATCCTTTTAACTGAAGGGATCCGATTTCTTTTATTGAATAAGGAAGAATTTATTCAAATGACTCTCACAGGCTTAGGTCTTTAACTAACATAAAGGCAAACGGTGAAAGGAATTAACATCATGGCTTGATGCAGAGATTTTTAGCGATTGTCCAAAAAATGCTGTTTCAGATTCTCAAAGCAAAGCGATCTTGTTCACTTGTCCCTAGTAGTTCCAGTTCCTGGTCAAAATTCCGTATTTTAGGTCTAGTCTTACATCTTCGCGATACTATAATACATCGTTTCCCTTAAAGCTGAAGTAACAAGAAATTACATGAAAAGCAATACTGTTGGAAAAATAAACCCTTTTGATTGTATTTCAAGTTGGAAAATTACCCATTTATACTTGTCGGTCGATACTTAGTACAGACTTTTTTGTTTTGAAAAGATTTTAATGTAGCACTTCATATATTACCGATAGAAATAAATTCGAAGAAATAAATTGACCAGAAAAGATCAGAAATATAGAATGAACGGATTTGTTCTTTTCTCATTAGGTGAATGAACTGTAAAAGCAAAAGTTGCAGGCTTTTGGAGTGGACCGACTGCAGAATCGGTGATACCAGGGGCTAAGTTAAGTTCACTTAAGAACCAGTGAGAACATTATTGTCGCCAAATTTCGGGTTCACACCGTGATAGTCAGTTCTCTAAAACCCCCAAATGACCGCTCTGATAAATGACCCGGATACTGCCAGACCAAATGATTTTTAGCAAGGTGGACCCCCCCCCCCCCCAATGTGAGCTCAGGACCGGGTCACCTGCAGGGCAGATCTCAGATTCGGTGACCTTCCCGGAACCCAGGGAGAAGGTTCCGCCGGAGAAAGAGTGGAAGTCTCCCCTGAAATGGCCCCGCTGCCGAGCCGGACGGAGCCCCTCCAACCGGGAGAGGGCCCCCGGCAGGCCGCCGCGCGTCCGCAGGTGGAGATGCGCGTCTCCGAGGCTGAGCGCGCCGCTGTGGGTCGGAGCAGGTGGGAGGATCCTGCTTTCCGCCCCAGCACCGCCCAGGGTCAGAGGGATTGTCCTCGGCAGCCCTGCCCAGTCAATTTGTCAAGGACCTGCATGGGATAAATAGCTGTCTCCCCAGACCTGTATAGTGACTAATCCAAATAAATCGCAGTCACTTTTCCTGAGCGCTTCAGCGGGCAGCCAGGCTTTAATGGCTCTGCCTTCCAGACCTCCAGAGAAGACTGGCCGCGGCCTCCGCGCGCACCTCCGCGCCCCCGGCCCTCCCGGGAGCCTCAGCTTCCCCTCTCGCGACATGGGGCCCATGAGGGCGGTGGCAGCCGAGCCCCAGCGCGCTGGCACGGTCTGCCGATTGGAACTGCCCTCTGGGGGTCCCGGGGTAGAAAGCGACGGTAGCGCCTCTCCTCGTCCTCGTGGACTTGTCTGGAATTTTACTCCCTTGGCCTGGTTTGAAGATCCTCTGGGATCTTCTTTATTCTCCACCTTTCTACCCCTTCCTCTGCTGCTCTAAGCCGCAGAAATTCGAAATACCTTCTACATCTCACTTGAGGCTTTTGGGCCAATCAATCCAGATCTTACCGCTTTCCTCTGAGATCTTTAAAACTTTGATCCCCAAACGTCCAGCTCCATCTCCCCCACTCCCTTTCGTCCCCTCTGGGATCCCTCTGGATGCCTGCTCAAAATACCTGCTGGCGCCAGAGGAAATTCACTTGTAACAGATACGCTGCGGGTGTAAAACCAACACTCTGCTTCCGGGGTCATTTTCCTCCCCACCTTCTGCCCCATCAACTTGTCGCTTAGCCAGGGCCAACCCCGGGAATTACTGTGAATCCTGAGTGCAGGGCTGGACAATTTGGAACCACTTTAATAGACCCGATGATTGCTATTTAACACGTTTCTTTCAGGACCCTGTTCAGCCCTAGAGAATCTTGGCGTCTGTGAAATGAACGCGAGACCCAGGATTGGTCCACAGGTAGCTTTTATAAAGGGATCTACCAAGTCTTCAAGCTTCAAAATATCTAAAGTAAAAGTGAACTATTCTGTTTGCTTCCAAAGCGGTTACTGGGGGGGAAAAAGTGTTGAGAAAAGTAGAAAATCTCACACCTTTTATTTTGGTAATAAACTACTAGAAAGATTTAAGTAACATAATTTTGCAATGGGTTTACTCCCAGATATTATTTACATTTCATATGTAAGGTGAATCACTGATGAAAATTTCCCCGTTTTATGAATGTTTACCACCAGGAGGATGAAAGAAATTATATATGAAAGGGGAGACCGACTTACTTTCCTGAACATGTTTAAGAGCACCGGGTGCATTTTATTTGAACAAATTAAGTCATTACTATATATTTCTTTTCACAAAAGCAAAACATTAACTGTCCAATAATAAAATGGTTTTGACTGTTATAAATTTTACTTCTCAATTCTAATATCACCTTTTCCCCAAATTTTACTCTTTATGAATCATTTGGCATGCTTATGATTATTATGTAGAGCTCTTGAGCTTTATAAAACACTGAAGAAGAAAACTATGTGCTGTGTTTATCCTGCTAAACATTTCAGTCTATTTGAGAGAAAGCGGATACCTTTAGGAAATATTTTTGAAAATTCATTTGAAAAATGTTGTCTTTCAATGGTCTTGGTCTAGAGATGTTTTCTGCTTAGCTCTGCCTTTGTGCCACTGAACAGAGCTCCAGGTCTTGAATAAATGTTCACAGAACTCATTTTGGTTGGTAGCTAAAGAAGAAAGTCAATGCAAGGCCCTCACTTTAATTTTCCTGTCACCTAAAACAGCTTGAGATTAGCTCAGCTGTCGTGGGGTGCAATTTTCAGTCAAGATCTGTGACTCTTCATAGTTTACTTTCTACTGTGGCATCACTCCCATGGTCTGGAACACTGTTGAGCAGAGATTTTTCCTGTTCCATAAATCATTTTTTGGAGATCTTGCCTGAATTGTTAGTCAGAGATGGAGTTTAAACAGTGGTCAGAGATAAGGTACAGATCTACACTGGGAGTTCATTAAGATCTTCCTGTGGGAAAAAAGCTGCCATTTTTCAGAGATTTGTAGTTCTTCATGGAGCCAAATGTGACAGATGATTTTTGTTACTTGAGGTATTTCTCATTTATAAGGTTTTCTAGTTTCTCTGCCAAAAAGAAATGGAAGCCTATATCAGCATATGAAAATTATAATTTAAGACAGCATCTTCTAGGTTCTAGGAAAGTTAAGATAATTTTATAAATATCAAGGCAGATGTATGAAACACTCCACATATTAGAGCTAGATGTCAATGTTATAATTGCTGTTTCTTGAACCATCTAGACAGCATGAGGGAGGGACAAAGAGGAGGAGAGGAGTTTCTCAGGATTACCAAATTAGATTTCTGAGCTGTCCATTATGGAATTTATTTGACAGTTAAACCTGCAAGGTCAGTTAACCAACTGCATTTTCTTTTCTCACTCCAGCGTATGTTGGTGGCTGACAGAGCATAACTGTGTTATTTCAGATATTATTAACTTATCCTGAAAATAAGTCATTTTTTGACACAACTCAGGGTAAATGATTAGCTTCAGGTTCATGCTGACATGTATAAAAACAAAGCCTCATTGGGTAAAGCTGAAGCAAATTATTGTCCTATTGGAGCAACAACAAAAAAAGACAACAACAAAGGAATGAATAAAGGAATAGGACAAAAACAATGATAACACTTGTAATTGTATCACTTTGGATACAATTTCCTTAAAAGTTTGTCGTACTTTATAACTTTCTTAGATTTTTTTTTTAAAAAGAGATTTTTAAAAACTCCTTAAAAATGATTTTGAAGTACAAGAATTATATTATCAAGAAAATAGAGCTGACAGTAATTTTCTAGTGAGTTTGATAGAATTTGTTTAGAAAAGCAAATAGACAATTGTGCCTCCAAATAATAAATCTAAGCCTAGATAATTACTCAAATCTTCCCTCTGCTTTTTTAAAAAAATCAACTTTATTTAGATATAGTTGACATACAATACAAAGCATACAATTCAAGGTTTTTTAGTATAGGCACAGGATTGTGTAAACATTACTACAGTCTAAAGTATTACTCCTTACACTACAGAGAGACCCGCACCAATTAGTACTCACTTCCATTCCCTGCTTCTCACCCCAGTTCTAGGCAGTCACTAATTTAGTTTATAGATTTGCCTGTTCCGGATATTTCATACAAATGGAATCATATATATGGTCTTGGGACTTCCTTGGTGGTACAGTGTTTAAGACTCCGAGCTTCCAATGAAGGGCGCTTAGGTTTGATCCCTGGTCAGAGAACTAAAGATCCCACATGCATCATGGTTTAAAAAAAAAAAAAAAATTTAAAGACAAAGGCATAGCTTAAAAAAAAAATTGTTTTTGTTTTTTTTTTTTTGGTGACTAGATTCTTTCACTTAGCATAATGTTTTTGAAATTTATGTTGTAACATGTATTAGTACTTCATCCCATTTTATGGTTGAATAATATGCCATTGAATGGATATGTCACATTTTACTTATCCATTCATCAGCTAATGAGCATTAGAATTGTTTTCATTTTTTGACTATTGTGACTAATACTGCTATGGACACATGTATAAGTTTTTGTGCCCCACTCTTCTTTGATTATATATAGTGTCAAACAATACATGATCTATATGTCCATGTGCTAGCATGGAAATGTGCTCTCCACCTTGAAAGAAATAGAAATCTAATCCCAGTCTTTCTGCCCATTTACCAGACTGTGAATTGTTTTCCATGACATACTCATACAATCTATCTCTAAGAAGCACTGTAGAAGTAAAGAGTTATTTAATTTGTCTATTCATTTGAACCAGGTAGAAGAAAGGGAACTGGAAAACAGAAAAAAATGTTTTTGTTTGCAAGTAGTTAAATTCCTAAAGTTACAAAATGAAGCCATATGCAACATTAGGAACTAGCTCTATCTGCTATGGGCTTTCCATCTGGTGCAGATAATTTGGTTGCTGTTGATTGTGCTAACCTTAAATTCCTATATGCTTGCTTACTTACTATGGTAATTTCCATATTCCCACAGAGTATTCATTTTACACTTTAGAGAGTTTTCTCTTCCACTGAGTAAAGAGAGCCTCTTTAGCCTTTTTGGGTTTGGTTTTATCAGTGAGCATTTGAGTTTGATGACTGCAGGCTTGTTTGCATATTAAGGGGCTGAGTAGAATCCTTATGATGTTCTGCCTTGCAATTGTGATGAATCTGGCTCCAACATGTGTTTTATTTATTTAATTATTTTTCCAACATGTGTTTTAAAACACTGTTTGCAAGATAGAACTCCAAGAACTCTATCAGATGTTATGATATTAGATTGAATGGAGAGCGATTAGCACTTACACATGTTCTTTGTAAAAAGGATCATCTAACAGATATTTATTGATTGCCTGTCAACACAGTGCTGATATTGTTGATGTGGATAAATTTCTTCTATTTGCTATATTTTGGCTACCTGATGCAAAAAGCTGACTCATTTGAAAAGACCCTGATGTTGGGAAAGATTGAAGGCAGGAGGAGAAGGGGACAACAGAGGATGAGATGGTTGGATGGCATCACCGACTCAGTAGACATGAGTTTGGGTAAACTCCAGGAGCTGGTGATGGACAGGGAGGCCTGGCGTCCTGAGGTTCATGGGGTCTCAAAGAGCTGGACATGACTGAGTGACTGAACTGAACTGAACTGAAGGATTTACATTCTCCCCATTAAAATAAAGTACTGCTCAAGACTGGGCCACTTTTTGATTGTGGCATCAGTTAGAAGAGACTATGTTTAATTATAACTTCCAAACATGATATTAAAATCTTTTTGTTTTAGGATATTATTTATTACATGGATTTATTACATATATTCCTCCAGCATCTGCTGGAATACCTGAGACCTTTTTGGAACTCAGACATTTCATGGGACCTAATTTGTAGAACACAACAGTTTATTAGCTTTGAAATGCAGTTGATTTTTTTAAGAAACCATGTAACTAACCTAATTCCAACTGAATTAAGGTTTACATTGTGTAGAGTCAGTTATAGAGCTGGTGGTTGTAACTATATAGTTAATATTAGTTAATCATTGTAGAGAATTCAGAAAAAGAAAATCTCTTTCAGCAGCATGTACAACACTTTTGTCACTTTTGTAAAAATCTAAAGGTACATGCAGTTTCAAGGGAGATAAAGTAGATCTCATTCATTTTGCAAGAGGGATTTTAAAGAGATAGGTTCTAGTTACTGAGGCTCAGTAGTGGCAGTAGGGTTAAAATCATAATTCTCCCAAAAGATGTCATTGACTCTTTTACAACCTCCACTGTCCTGATCTGGGATTATATTTTATTGGAAAGAAAACATGGACTTCCTTGAGCTACTTAAGGTATAGTGTTAATTCAGTGAGATTCAACAGGACTTCAGGGCTTTCCAATTTCCTTTCTCTCCTGTGTCATTTTGATTAAACACATTTATGTTTTAAATCCAGGCACAAATTGTA